TTGGGTTTCTATGAATCAAAGTGAAAATTGCTGCTCTTGGTTTTCTCATGAATCTTCTTCTAGTATTCGTCTCTTAAATGAGTCCATCTTTGCTCGTATATTTTGTGTCTATTACTTCTGTAACCGTAGTTTGAATGGTTCTTGTTTATTGCATTTCCATGTGTTTGTTACGTTTCTTGTTTACCACTTGCATAGTATGTTATCTCTTCAAGTATTTCTGCATGCATGAATGGCTCTTTTTTGTTTGCTTGAACTAAATGAATGTCTCTAATTTGGTGGTGTTTTAGTTGCTTTTTACATCCAGAACCTAGAACCTACTCTTTTAAGATCATCTCCAAAAGACACTATAACTTCAAATGTGGAGTTTTTGCCTCTCCAAAAAGGAACTCTAAAATTTCAAATTTGAAGTTTTGAGTAGTGAAACTTCAAATATAGAGTGTTACTATTCAAAACTTCAAATTTGAAGTTTCATATTTTATTTGTATTTTGGTCCTTACAATTACACATCATATTTATAATAATCTTAAATATTTATTATTTATCGTTTTAATTTTTAAAAATTATTATTTCATAAATAATTCAAAATTATTTTTATAAATTTAAAATTGTATATGTTTTTTAAAAAAACATCAAGATAATCTTTTAAATATTTTAAAATGTTTTGTTTGTATTTTAATATTTAATTATATATTTCTATTTATAGTTTTATATTTTAGTGTAACATTTTATCAAATAATATTTCTATAATATTTTTATACATGTGATAGTTATTTATAAAAGTCTTGTGAATTTGAATTAGTTATGACAAATATAAGGACCATTATATAAAATACAAATAGGTTTGAAGTTAAGTTTGAAATTTTTTTTTTGGAGTATAACACTTTTAAACTTCAAATATAGAATTTTGCAAACTTTATAATAGAGAGTATTTTTGGAGATGCTCTAAGAATGTTATTATGTGTTTGATTGTCATTGACTATGCTAGTTTATTAAATTTACTTCTTTCTTTTTTCTGCTGCAGCTGTTTTTTTGATAGTCCGGAATTTTTCTTTTTCAAATTTGGTTTATGATTTAAAACTCAGAGACCAATCAAAAGAACACATGAGTTTTGTACTACTTGCAATTCAGACACAAAGTCGTATCAACTGGCTTTGTTCCAGATTCTTGTTAGGAGAAGAAGTATATTGCTACTCTTTCTAAAGTAACAAATTGGACATGATTCTGTCTATTCTATATGATCTCTGAAGCATGTTTCACATTCGTGTTAAAAGAGAATTTCATTTAAGATCCTTCAGATTAAGCATTCTATTTGTTGCACATATACATAATTGCATAAGATATGGATTGTACCCCTCTACAAAACCGATTGAATGAGGAATCTGGTCCACAAAGTCGGCTCATTTTAGCTCTACTCGCCGTGACCAGCTCAATAGACAACTTCAGCTTATTAGCCCGAATTTACTCGGCGCCATGAGCTCGACACACAAGCTCGGTTCAATATTCCAAAGAATCAATTCCAAAGACTCACCCAGTTGCTCGGCCTGATAAGTCCAGCCCAGCTTGTTATATAGTTCGCATATCAAAATATTTAATTGAATTACATAATTGGCAAAAGACAAATTCATGAGATAGGTACTATTTTACATAACTGTCTAATTTGAATACCCAAAATAATCATTGTATTGTAATTTCAGTTTTCAGAGCAGAGGTGACTCGGGTACAAACCACTTGTTTTTTTTTTCCGTAAAGTGATTATATAGATGAGTTGAAACTGATACAAGACCAATGGACGAAGGAATGTCCATGTTAGCTAAGCCGGCAAACAACACAATATCTCCGGAACCTAAAACCCATAAAGGGATGCATAAGCCCAAACGACAACAAACCAGGGCAACTACAGACAAGCACTTTAAACTAAGCAACAAGATTCATAGACAACTGCTAGCCCTCTCAACAAAACAGAAAATCAAATGAAAGAATATCTATGGAATTTGTTTAACGTGAATGCCCCCGGCAAACCACCGTAAAACCACTCCCTCCTAGTACAACGAGGAAACACCTCAGAACCAAGTAACACAAGCTTCACAAACCGGCAAGGAAGAATTCTTCAAATTCTGTCAACTTCCGGACACCCGGCTGAGTCGTACACAACTGATAAACGCCTAGGAATGAAGCCACAACCAAATCAAATCTCCACGAGATCTGAACAAGCAACTAGGAGCCAAGCCCACTTAATCCGAAGTACAATGAACACAGGCCACGAATGACATAAGGACGGATCGTAGGAATCCATAGAAACCTTTATCAACTTAGAAACCACTTGTTTTTTTATCTGGACAAATGTTTATACTAAATAAATTGAAATGTTATTTTTTATAAGTTAACAAGTTTGAAAATCATACCATTCGAAAATTGTTTTTCTCATCCTTAAGAAGTGAATTTGTCAACCTTTAATTCGAACTGAATTAAACCGCTATCATATGCAACAACCGAAAACATTCACAACAATGAGTGCACTGGTGATGATGGTGAACATGTTGAAGCAAATTTTTTACTTCATAACAAAATCAAATCACAACATAAAGACAAAATAACATAAAACTCTTGAAAAAATGTTTATGTGTTAATTTCATTTCAGAATATTACTTTGACACAAATTCTAGTTAAATATTACAAGTAAAAACAGTCTTTTTAGTTTCAAGTCATCCTATAATTATAATGTTGAAACATTCAAATAACACACTTCCATCTGTTTGTTAACCAGTCAACGAGATATAAATATATATCCCTAATGAAATATACAATAATAGTAGTTCTTCAGATTGAGTTCAGGGTCTGTCCTGAATTAAAAACATTCAAATCTCCAATTTTGTTTTTATAAAATGACATAGATATAAACCCCTAAATTTCAGATATAGACCCCTCAAATTTATCTATTATTGAGATCTATAGTAAATCACCTACAGTTCCTCACATCTTAGGTCCAGCCTGATTGAATCGTTCATTATCTATAGTATCGTGTCGAGGTCCATGTAAAATAACGGTTACACAGAAACAATAAGTCATACTTGGAGAATGGTAATAAAATTGAACCATTCCCTATAATCTTATATATTAAAACAGAAGTCATGATTTGACTTCATGTGTAATTTTTTAAAAAATGGACTATTACTAGAAAATCATATTACATTAACTCTCTACTAATTTTATTATTATTATATCTTAAGAAAAATCATATCTATAATAACAAAGATACGCTTAACAGTTTGGTTATGGTAAATTACCCACACCTTTTAACTTAGTCATGCAAAATATGTCAATAGATATAAGTTTAGGAATCTTCTATTATTTATAAGGAAATATGTCAATAATAGTTAAATGCATTCACAATATATTAACAAATATGTAATATTTATATACTCTAACAAAATTTACAAGCTATATATACTAGATAAATTTATTTCCATGTAAATTTTTAAAATGATATTGTTTAAAAAAATTGTTTAAAAATTCCTTTTTAATAAAATTTTTTATAATATTAATTTATGAAGCTATAAGTTTAGTTTTTAGCAAAAAATTCTTCGAATTTTATATTATCTTTGCAAATTAAACTATACTAATATTTAATCAAGCTCTATTTATATTAATTTATCTAAAATGGAAATACTAATCTAACAAACAATAAAATATAGAAGAATTAGAAACAAACACATGTTTGAAAAACATGTATAATATAGAAAATTTGAAACAATCTATTTGATTAAAATACATATTATATAATATTATTATGTTTGAAAAATATTTACTATACATATTGTAAATATGTGATTACTATAATATATACCAATTTACAAGTGAAAACAAAATTTTTATATAACTAACTATAAACGAAAACAAACACCCGCGCAGTTGCGCGGGTCAAAATCTAGTATATGTTAAAAGAGAAACTTTTGACATTAATATACGTTCACACTATGTTTGCTACATTGCAACCTCACATCGATTTGAAAATGAGTATACTTACGTATACGTGTAGAGAGAGTTTTTCAGCCGAATTTTACATAAATGTGTTCATACTATATATTACTTTATGTTTTTTCACTATAAAATTCACATGCATGGTTCCACATAGAATATAATTTGCAAAAATAAATAATTAATGTGTAGATCTATTTTATTTCTACTTAATTTATTTTTAAAATTTTAATAGTTCATGTGTTCTTTTGAACAATGTCTTTTAAAGTTAACTAACGGTATTTCTATATATTTATCAGCCACCTTTATATATTTTTTACATACACAAACATGTGCACATTAACGTAACAATCTATAAAACTAAATATTCATCACAAGTGAGGATTTAAATCTCTTGTAAGTTAGAATTTTTTTTTTTTTTTAATGTGTCATTCCTCAACCAAATTGTCATGAAATTATTTGTGTTAATAATTATCGTTTCCTTTCTTCAATTATTATCTAGATTTGATTTGATTTTCATGCATTTAGAAAATATAATATGAAACGATTGGTTCGACATCATAACTGTTTAAAATTCATATAACATGAAACCAAATAAATAATAATAGTTTTTAGTTATTACCAGAAAAACCAAAAACTTCAAATATTTTAATCGAGCAAATTAAAATAACTATGGATTTAGAATGGTAGTTATATTTTAGTGGATTAAAAACCAAAAATTCAACCTAAAACTGAAACAAAATCCAGATTAAACATATCTAATATCTTCTTATTTTAAAACATAACAAAATTAATAATTTCATTCCACGCAAGGCACAAATTATTACCTGGTAAAATACTATTTCTACAAATAGCCCATAAGATGTTGATAATTTAAAAACTATGCGAGTTGAATTTGTATGGTTAATGGAATGGTTCGTTATGAATTTACATGGTTGTTCTATTCCGGTCTGGATTCCCAGACGACCTCAAGCTTGAGTAATAGATCAGCCGTTCGTTGTAAAAAAAAAACAAGAATTACATAATCAAGGATCGAAATCATCAAGAGAAAAGCTCAATAAAGAAACGAACAACCTTAAACCTTACATAATCAAACATAAAACGAACTATACGAACTAAAAGAAGCTAACGAAAATAAAACAACCAAGAACCTGAAACATCTACTGAATTGTTGATCCACAAACACATCGGAAAAGCTTCTTCATCATCGCCTGCTTCATCTTCCCGTCTTAATTCGTGCACACCTTCTTATAATCATTCCATATGTTAGCTTGCTTTATAAATATGTAAAATGTATTAGTAAAAAGCTGCATATATATAAAATACACAGCAACATATGTTCGATTAATGTGAGTAAATTACATATATTGATAAGTAGCAAACTAATCGAAACGGTGGCCGACCCGTAGACCAATACGGCTGATCATTCTGCTGCTGCGGTGGCAGCTGAACCGAACCAAGAAGATTTGGTTGCAGCCCTTGAGCGGCCGACATGGCTTGTTGCTGTCCCATCATATCGGCGGAGATCACATTCTACCACCACCTCCTCCACCGCCGTGTACAGGCGTTTGCATCTCATCTTCCTCCAACGGCAACCTCTCGTACGCAGCATTGCTAAAAGACGCTGCCATAACCACCACAGGACCTGAACACAATAAGGATCCAACCACACTACCTCCAACCACTTGACCTTGTCCTCTGGCTAAGTAAACGCTTAGTCCGGTGGCTGCAGGCGGGGCAGGAGGGGGCAAGAAAGATCCAGAGAGGGAAAGGATTTCGAACCGGCCGTGGAGGCTAACCACCGATCCAGGTGGCGTTCCTGGCTGACGTATAGTGACGTTAGTGACGCTTCTTGTGCCGCTCATAACGCAAACGCCTCTTTGGCGGCGTCTTGCAAATGTAGCTATACAGTCAACTATGTCACATCCGTCTCTGATCTCCATGACGTGAGTTCGAAGCGCGTTTGCGCTGTCTCGGGTTATGATTATTGGAGCTTTAGGTTTGTTCTTGGATCCTGTTGGTCTTCTCTTGGCCTTCTTGTAATCTGTTCTCCACTTCCTCCTTCTCCTTCGTGTAAACTCATCTCTTTACCTTCGCTACCAATTTTGTTATTATAGATGTTTTCCATATTATCACTTGTCTCTTCGCGATCCATCTTGTTGATGGTTCGATTCTTTGACCCTCCTTGTTGCTCATGATCTTGTTGATCAAGGTTTCTTTGTTTCTGATTATGATGGAGAAAGAACTTTTGTTGTTGAGAAAAAAACTGTTGTTGTTGGTGATGATGATGTTGTTGTTGAAGATGTGTGGGAACCAAAATTCACCTACTGTCAAGATTACGTAAATAAGGGAATTTAGAGTAAACCCTAATTTCCCAGAGGACCCGGCTATCTGCAGATCCGCACAAGAACAATCAAGAACGCGATTAATATGAATAAATAAAAAGATGTTAAGAAAATCGAGATTGAGAACGAAAAGAGTCTTATTCCAAATCTGCGTAAGAACAGTACAACCAGAGTGAGCCTTAGCCACGTGAGCCGTCGGCGATATCCTAACCCTAGCAGTCTAAGACTAAAACCCTAGTTGAGGCGCATCTCGATAACAAAACTGAAAAAACCCTAAGTGCTAAGTTTCTGATGGTGAAAGCTCTCGAAAATCGTCCCTTGCTTATGTCCTCTACCTTTTGTTTATATACTCCCTTCCTAAGCGGTTTAATCCTTCCATTTCGCCCAGATTCGAGTTTATCGGGAATCTTCCATTTATCTTTATCTTTCTTTTTTTTCTCGCGGAAATCTTCTATTTATCCTCAAACTTGACATTTATCTTCAAACTTGACATTTATCTTCTTTCTGCGATAAATCATCAAAACGTCGTCGTATCTTTGGGCTTGACTTCGTGAAAGTCGCAAGATAGGCCTTTTATCGCGTTTTAGGACTTTTCGAGCCGTTTTGCGATAAAACCGTTTTACAACTTTATACGAGCTCATTTCCTGATATGCCGTTATTAAATAAGCTTCTCGAGTTAATCGTGAAGTTTGGCAATGTTTGATGTTTCGGTTAATAGTTGCCGTTTTTCTACGATTTACTCGAGGTTTTATTAAAAACGTGTTTTACGATTTTTACGAAAAATCTCGAGTAAAATCGTATAGTTAGGCAATGTTCGGCGTTTTGTTTAACCGTTGCCGTTTTGTACGATTTCCTTGAGTTCTTTCGGGAAAACAAGACTTTTCGGTTATTTATCGTAAAACTTGAATGATAGTACGGATCGAGAGGAAACAAGAGACGTTTCAATCGTGGTTCCGAACACGATCGATCCAAGGGACGTATGCCTTGAATCAAGGATGTGGGAGGTCGAGGCTCGGGACAGTCAGCTCGACGTACGGCGAGCCTAACCGGGTTGGTTTAGCTCTCCGTACGGCGAGCCGAACCGGGTTGGTTTAGCTCTCCGTACGGCGAGCTATCCGTGAAATGACTAGCTCGCCGTACGGCGAGCTAGCTCGATGCCACCTAGCTCGCTGTACGGCGAGCTGGTCCGGGACCAACCAGTTCGACGTACGGCGAGCTGAACCGGTTGGTTCGGCTCGTCGTACGCCTTACTTAGTTCGGTCGAACCTGCTCGGGGTTTTACGGCGGATGCGGTTTTTTGCGGTTTTGCGCTTAACTCGGACAATCCTGTAATCGACATTTGTTTCGTTTGTTTTTCCGAAATAACGGTTTCCAATTTTTTTTCTGCGCATTTCCTTTATTCGTATCTTAGTATTTTATAAAACGGCTTTACGAGTTTTATAAAACGTTATTTTTGCGGAAAGTTTTGGTCGTTGATTCCGTCGTACCGATTTTGACCCCAACAAGATGTAACTGGAAGTCTCTAGCGTGGAAAGGAGAAGGGAGTGAGCTTTGTGATCCATGATGATGTTGTTGGTGATAATAATCGATTATGAAGATATTGACGTAGGAGACTCCAGATGCTGAAGGAGGACAATAATTTTTCACAACAAATACCAAGCTGAATATTTTTTCTTCAATTTTTCTTTTAATTTTGAGTTGTACTTTGGAGGAAGTGAAGAGGGCTTCTGGTGGGTTTTTATATCTCCCTCTTTTCTTTTCTGATTTTCTTTTTAGTTTGTGTGAGATGTGTTGGGGTTTTGAGGAGTTTGTGGGGGTTATCTGCTTACTTTTGTTTAGGTTGGTGATTGGTAAATTAGGGTTAAGAGGAGAGAGAGAGATATATTTTTTTGTATTTTTTGTGTGTGTGGTTATGACAATGACATCATTCGCATGTCCAAGGCGGTGCTTTGGTCCCCACCTTTACATACGCCATCCTCTTTTTTTTTTTCCATAACGTTTCCATTTTCCAACTCTTTCGTTTGATTTTAAGATCTTGCGTATTTTCAAAGTCATTTTCGATTAGCAGATTCTACTTTTTGTTAGGGCTAGTTCATTTTTTCAAAGACTGTTGTGAGTAATTCGATAGATAACATGTGTGTTTTCCTATGGTTTATTTCAGTTGTCTATATGTTAAACTTCTTCTCTTTTTGCAATATAGCTATTGTAATAGTTATTCCCCATCAAACATTAGTAATCCTCAGATTCCAAAGAAGACTTCCGTTTACACTTTTTGAATTTTGGCATAGTAGACATATTATCTTCATATTCTAGCTGAATCAGCCTTTCGAATATATAAAAAATATATAGAAATTCTCAAGAATATAGTATTATTCTTAATTTTTTTCTCTCATCTGAAAGTTTCAGAAATCCATCTCTGATTCCCTCGTGAACTCTCAACAATCTTGTATATGTATGTTTCTGTTAGTAGTAATTATAACATGCGAATGTAAATGATTCTCTCTCCACAATAAATCTTCGAACTTCGAGGGCAACGAAGGGTTTGGCCATCTCTAAGTACTACATACTAGGATATATGATTAAATTGTCTCTAAAACCATATAATTCTAGGCATGAAAAATAAGTAGATCTATACTATTAAAGCAGGATCTTATTGTTAAAATTTTGGATTCTACCCCTAGATTTCTATCATATTTATAAGATAATACCACTATTTATTTTTAAAATCTTAATTAACTAAGCAATTTAATATCTCCTATATTTATGGTAACTGATAATATTTCCTATTTTTGTGATTAATAATAATTTTCCTTTTACGAAAATTATGATTTTCTATTTAATTTTAATATCATATTTTCGTGCATCATATTATTTAGCGATTAAAAACTAAAAATTTTTATTTACTGTGTCATTTTATCCATAATAATGATATATTAATTCAATTTGTTTTAAAAAATAATTATAAGATATAAAATGAGTAAAAATGTAAACTTATCATAGGTTATTAATAACGAAAAGAAACTAATATTGTCATATGAATAAATTGTGTTTTTTTTTCTATTACCATTGTTTCATTTTTTTTCAAATGACAAGAAAGTTTTTATTAAAGAAATTACAAAAAAATCAATTTGCTTTAATATTAAAAATATGAGTTATTTAACAAATTTTTAAAAATATATTATCAGTTTTTATGGGGTTATTTAACGGATGAACATATATCATAATACAGATTAATAGCGGGTTTTAAGATATATACCGGTTTGCTTAAATTTTTAATTAGTAAATTTTTAATTAAATCTTAACTGGATTATATAACAGTTGTCGGATGTACCGGTTCAACTTTGGATCTGGATCAGATATGAAAACATTACATGAAAATCAAACATTATAATAGAACATTTTAAATATTAATAAAACAAATTTTAAAATTTTGTGTTTGAATAGTTAATTTAAATATATTTTATCAAAATGGTAAAAATATACCCGCGCTTTTAAAGCGCGGATCAAAATCTAGTAAATGTTATTGTATAATATTGTATATTTAAAGAAGAAGATATATTCTGACCCAAAAGAAGATATATATAGACGACGTAATTGGAGAGTGGAGTACGTAATTAAAGAAGACGCGAAGAAGGCGCTGACAAATCTCAAACCCAAAGGGAGAAAGCACGAGAGAGAGAGAGACAAGGGATTGTTGAATTGAATGTGCAAAGAGAGAGCGAGGGAGGAAGAGAGAAGAGGCAATGGCATGACTCTTGTGGACGCAAACCCATGTCTTAAACGATGCTCTTGGTCGGCTCTCATGCTCCTCCCTTGTCCACGTGCCTTTCTCCTTCCTCTCGTTTTGCATTTTGGATTAGCAACTAAACGGGGACATATGTTTGGCTATTACATGACCATAGAATTGTAACGTCCGACTGTCCACGATTAATAGACCACCTATTCCATTCTAATGGTCGGTCTGTTAATTTTTCAAGGCTCTAGAGTCATGTTTACTGACCCTGCAACCACCACATGATTTTTCTCCATGTTTTGGCCTCACTTACACGATATCGCTAATCATTTCTCGATAGGTCACACATCCTTTGACTACTCCGACTCAAGCATGCTTAATTCTGGAGTTCTCTCTCGATGTGCTCCCAAAAAGGTAAGTGCACTTTTGTAGCATAGGTAATCAAATCAATTCTCTTAAGCATTTCCATATATCACAACTTGAGATGTTACAAGAAAATTTATAATAAATTAGTAATGTTTTGTCTTTAAAAGTAGTATTTTTAATGTTAATGGTCTAAATAGTTGGGGTCAAATACTTAAGTATGATCTTATATTTGTGTGGCATCTCCAAAGTAATATTCCATTTTTTTCACCTAAATAGAGTAAAATGAAATATAGAGTAAAAATACTCTAAACTTATTCTATATCCTACTCCATAATAGAATAATGAACAAAAAAAAATTATTCCATTTATAGAGTAAATTCTATTATGGAAAGAGAAATTGAGTTGGATTGTAGTGATTTGTATTCCATATTCCTTTTTACTTCATTTCGATGTAAAAAATAGAGTTGAGTTAAACATGCCCTTAGTTTGTAGTTAATAGTGCAAAAACAGCCAACAAGTTTTTATGAGTTTGTGTAACTTTTAAAAGTGAGTAGGATCTAATTATTTCTTCTTTAAAAGAATGATGGTCAGATATTTAGTTGCATGACCATATATAATCTGAAGGCCCTTTCTCAAAAAAAGAAATTAGCATATATATTATCACAAAATATTGATATCTTTTTTTTTTTTTTTTGAAAAAATGGTTTCAGT